CCTCTGTTTGACAGGCTGATGATAGGTTTGGCCTTCATTATCCATCTATCTATATATATGTAGTGTTCTGCCTGCTTAACTACCTAGCAGTCACCTTAGCCCAGACCCTGCGGCTATAAATGTAGCAGTGAGGAAAGAGCACGGCTGGAGCCTTCTTCTGATTTGCATGGCTTTGACTGGAATGAAGTTGCACTTCATGTATGTATGTATGTATGTATGTATGTATAATCTCCCTGTACGTATTTGTTAGTATTCAGATGGGAGACTGCCAGTGAAAACCAGTTGCTATAGGCTATTGTTCCAGAGAAAGGCGACTGCAAATCCACCTCTGGGTATTCTTTTTCCAAGAAAACCCTTATGAAATTTGAGGCAACCTGAAGACACAGACATATATGTAGCTGTCTGACTGTCTATCCCTCCAGGCCAATCCCTGAAGCTAGAAATGTAGCTGGGCTGGAGCCTTCCTCTCTTGGTTTAGGCCAAATAACGAATGTATTCAGCTAGTAAGAAGTAAATTAATATGGCACATTCTGTGTATCCTATCAAACAGTTAGACAATAACTAATGGTTTATCAGTGTCCTTTTCTCCAAACCAATGCTGGGATACAAGGTGGCATTTTCAAAATATCTTTCTTACCCTAATTTGGTTCATTCAATGGCTTTGACTGGGGATGGAGTTACCCTTCCTCATCTATCTATCGGTCTGTTTGTCATTTCTCTCTGTGTGTGTTACTATTTTGATGGGATACTGCTGATGAACACCAGGTGTTAGAAAAAGATAGCAAAACCACCTCTGGGTATTATTTCTATCCTGCCTTTCTTCCCATGGGAACTCAAGGCAGCTAGCATCTATCCACATTAAACAGTTCAAAAAGAACAATACAAAAGTTAAAAAACAATTAAATAATAACAGTGTGATAAAAAACACAATTAAAATACAGGAAACACACTAAAATGGCCTTTAAAACTCATATCCCTCCCAATCCCTCCCACTCTCCCCAGAGCCTCCCCTTACCCTTCCACAAAAGTCTGTTGGCAAAGATCTTGACCTGCTTTAGGGAGGCGAGCAAGGATGGGGCCATGCTGGTCTTTCTTGGGAGTTCCACTGTCTGGGAGCAGTCACTGAAAAGGCCCTTTACCTCGTTCCTGCCAAGTGTGCTTGAATGGGTGGTGGAACAGAGAGAAGGCACTCTCCAGTAGATCATAGATGTCCTTCAGGTTGATAGAAAGAGACACGGTCCTTCAGATAACCTGGACCAGAGCCATATAGGGCTTTGTAGGTCAACCTAGCACTCTTAATTGTGGTCAGAAACATGTTGACAGCCAGTAGAGCTATCGCAACAGAAGAGCAGTACGCTCCCTTTAGCCACCCCCAGTTAGCAGTCTGACTACTGCTCTTTGGACCAACTGAAGTTTCAGAGAACTTTTCAAAGGCAGCCCCATGTAGACCAAATTACAATAGTCCAACCAGGATGTAACCAAGGCATGTACCACCATGGCCAGATCTGACATCTCCAAGAACGGGTGCAGTTGGCACAGTAGCTGTAACTGTGCAAAAGCACTCCTGGTCACTGCTGATACCTGGGCCTCCGAGTTCAGAGCCAAGTCCAGGAGCACTCCCAAACTGCGAACCTGCCTTTTCAGGGGGAGTGTAACTCCATCTAACACAAGCTGACTCTCTATTTCCTGATCTGTCTTACAAGTGACCAAGAGCACCTCTGTCTTGCCTGGATTAAGCTTCAATTTGTTTGCCCTCATCCAGTCCATTTCAGCATAGGAACCACTTCCTTGGAATTAGGAGAAAAGGAGTGATAGAGTTGGGTGTCATGTGCATATAGATGGCACCATACTCCAAAACTCCAGATAACCTCTCTTCCAGTAGTTTCATGTATATGTTGAACATTATTTTCTGTTGGTCATGGGGGTTCTGTGTGGGAAGTTTGGCCCAATTCTAACCATGGTGGGGTTCAGAATGCTCTTTGACTGTAGGTGAACTATAAATCACAGCAACTACAACTCCCAAGTGTCAAGGTCTATTTTCCCCAAACTCCACCAGTGTTCACATTTGGGCATATTGAGGATTTGTGCCAAGTATGGTCCAGATCCATCATTGTTTGAGTCCACAGTGCTCTCTGGAAGGAGGTGAACTACAACTCCAAACCTCAATGTCAATGCCCAGCAAACTCTTCCAGTATTTTTCTTGCTCATGGGAATTCTGTGTACCAAGTTTGGTTCAATTCCATCACTGGTGGAGTTCAGAATGCTCTTTAATTGTAGTTGAACTATACATCCCTGCAACTACAACTCCCAAATGACAAAATCAATCCCCCACCCTCCAACCTTACCAGTATTCAAATTTGGGTGTATTGGATATTTGTGCCAAATTTGGTCCAGTGAATGAAAATACATCCTGCAAATCTGATATTTACTTTATGCTTCAGAACAGTAGCAAAATTAAAGTTGTGAAGTAGTCATGAAATTAATTTTTATGGTTGGGGGTCACCACAACATGAGGAACTGTATTAAGGGGTTACAGCATTAGTAAGGTTGAGAACCACTGTTCTAGAGACATTCTCTCCTGACGTTTCGCCTGCATCTATGGCAAGCATCCTCAGAGGTAGTGAGGTGAGTCAGGAGAGAATGCCTCTGAGGACGTTTGCCATAGATGCAGGCGAAACGTCAGGAGAGAATGCCTCTAGAACAAGGGTCCTCAAACTATGGCCTGGGGGCCAAATACGGCCCTCCAAGGTTATTTACCTGGCCCCCGCTCAGGGTCAACCTAAGTCTGAAATGATTTGAATAACAACAACCCTATCTCATCAGCCAAAAGCAAGCCCACACTTCCCATTGAAATACTAATAAGTTTATATTTGTTAAAATCGTTCTTCATTTTAATCATTGTATTGTTTTAAGTGTTTTTTGCACTACAAATAAGATATATGCAGTGTGCAATAGAATTCATTCATGTTTTTTCAAATTATAATCTCCCCATACCAAAAAAGGGAAATGCGAAAGACTGCTCAAACTTCCGTACAGTGGCCCTTATTTCTCATGCCAGTAAGGTAATGCTCAAGATCCTGCAAGGAAGACTCCAGCAATACATGGAGCGAGAGTTGCCAGATGTTCAAGCTGGGTTTAGAAAAGGCAGAGGAACGAGAGACCAGATTGCCAATATCCGATGGATAATGGAGAAAGGCAGGGAGTTTCAGAAAAACATCTACTTCTGCTTCATTGACTATTCTAAAGCCTTTGACTGTGTGGATCATAATAAATTGTGGCAAGTTCTTGGTGGGATGGGCATCCCAAGCCACCTTGTCTCTCTCCTGAGGAATCTGTACAAGGACCAAGTAGCGACAGTAAGAACTGACCACGGAACAACAGACTGGTTCAAGATTGGGAAAGGCGTACGGCAAGGCTGCATACTCTCACCCAACCTTTTTAACTTGTATGCAGAACACATCATGCGATGTGCGGGGCTTGATGAATGCAAAGCTGGGGTGAAAAGTGCTGGAAGAAACATTAACAACCTCAGATATGCAGATGACACCACTCTGATGGCCGAAAGCGAGGAGGAGCTGAGGAGCCTTCTAATCAAGGTGAAAGAAGAAAGCACAAAAGCGGGTTGCAGCTAAACATAAAAAAAACCAAGATTATGGCAACAAGAATGATTGACAACTGGAAAATAGAGGGAGAAAATGTGGAGGCCGACAGACTTTGTATTTCTAGGTGCAAAGATTACTGCAGATGCAGACTGTGGCCAGGAAATCAGAAGACGCTTACTTCTTGGGAGGAGAGCAATGTCCAGTCTCGATAAAATAGTAAAGAGTAGAGACATCAGACTGGCAACAAAGATCCGCCTAGTCAAAGCCATGGTATTCCCTGTAGTAACCTACGGATGTGAGAGCTGGACCTTAGGGAAGGCTGAGCGAAGGAAGATCGATGCTTTTGAGCTGTGGTGTTGGAGGAAAGTGCTGAGAGTGCCTTGGACTGCGAGAAGATCCAACCAGTCCATCCTCCAGGAAATAAAGCCCGACTGCTCACTGGAGGGAAGGAGACTAGAGACAAAGTTGAAGTACTTTGGCCACATCATGAGGAGACAGGAAAGCCTAGAGAAGACAATTATGCTGGGGAAAGTGGAAGGCAAAAGGATGAGGGGCCGACCAAGGGCAAGATGGATGGATGGCATCCTTGAAGTGACTGGACTGACCTTGAGGGAGCTGGGGGTGGTAACGGCCAACAGGGAGCTCTGGCGTGGGCTGGTCCATGAGGTCACGAAGAGTCGGAGACGACTGAACGAATGAACAACAATCTGGCCCTCCAACAGTTTGAGGGACTGTGACCTGGCCCTCTGTTTAAAAAGTTTGAGGACCCCTAGAATCATAGAATCCAAGAGTTGGAAGTGACCTCGTGGGCCATCCAGTCCAACCCCCTGCCAAGAAGCAGGAATATTTAAATCACCCCTGACAGATGGCCATCCAGCCTGTTTAAAAGCTTCCAAAGAAGGAGCCTCCACCAACCCGTTATAGAGGCATTCTCTCCTGACGTTTCGCCTGCATCTATGGCAAGCATCCTCAGAGGTAGTGAGGAGATAGAATGCCTCTGAGGATGCTTGCCATAGATGCAGGCAAAACGTCAGGAGAGAATGTCTCTAGAACATGGCCATATAGACCGAAAAAAACCTACAACAGCCCACAACTGTTTTGCTTCGCTCCTGACACGATAAATAAATAAACCACCTGGAGGGCCGGCTGAGTGGAAAAAGGACAGGGCCTGAGGCTGTCAGGAATGATGGGAGTGGGAGTCCAAACCACCTGGAGGGCCCATAACTGAGCCAAGGCTTCCTTGTGTCGAGTGGCGAGGCCTCTTCCCGGCGTCCTCCGCGGCTCGAGCACCCCTCCCCTCCTCGAAGGGGGCGGAGCTTCCTCCTCCTCCTCCTCCTGCGTCCATCTCTGAAGAAAGGGAGGGGAAGAGGGCGGGGCCAAGAGAGAGAGAGAGAGAGAGAGAGCGCGCGAGAGCGTGAGTCCAAGCGCGCGCCTCTGCTGCCGCCGCTGTTTCTGTTTCCGTGTGGGGTGTGCAGTGCATTCAGCGGCGCCGTGTCCCGTCCCCCTCACCCCTCCCTTTTTTTCCGAGCAGCGCGAGGGACGGAGAGGAGGCTTCGGAGCCACACACACACCGAGGATCCTCGCGCCTGAGGCAGCAGCGGCGGCAGAGAAGGGGTCGCCATGAGTTGGGGCACGGAGCTGTGGGTGAGTGCCTCGCTTGGCTTCATTGTGTCTGGGAGGAGGCACGGGAGAGAAGGGAAGAAAGGGAAGGGGAACAGGAGGGAGGGAGCGCGCCCTTTTCGGCGCCTTTGTTGAGGGAAGCGCCTGAGGGGGGAGAAAGGGGCATGTTGTGGGTCCCCCGTGGGGCCGGGAAGGAGGGGGCGGGGCTTCGGTGCCCGCCTGTGTGATTTCCCTCAGCCCTCCTCACTCCCAGCGCTCTCTCTTCTCTGGAGTATTTGCATATTGGGAGATGGTGGAGACCCAAGTCTCCCCACAGCATTCATACACGATGGGGGGACCTTGGTATCCGCCAGGGTTGGGTTCTCCCCTGGATACCGAAATCCTTGTCTACTCCAACCCCTTGGGAGACAGCGATGGGCCCCATTTCAAAGCCCATTTCCGTTCATCCTTTGAAGCACCCTACAGTGGTAGAAAAAGTTGCCCCCCCCCCAGATAAAAGGGCAAAATCAAGATTAATATGGAATTAAAATCAATATAAAATATGGGGAAATTTATATCCTGCCTTTCCCCATCTTCTATATAAATAAAAATGTAATGTTCGTTTGTGGGATTAACAGAACTCAAAAACCACTGGGCAAATTGACATCAAATTTGGACAAAATACACCTTTCAGGCTAACAAGTGATCACCACTCATATTTGTTTGTGACAGGCTATACAAACACATAGGATTTGTGAAACGGTTCACTAATATTCCAATAGATAATCTCATATACATTGAAAAATTATGCCACAAATGGCAATATCTAATGTCATTTTTAACATAACTCAAAAACCACTGGGCAAATTGGCACCAAATTTGGACAAAATACATTTATCCGGCTAACAAGTGACCATCACTCATAAAAACACTGAAAAACACAGCAGATGGGACTTAAAAAGCAAAAAAAAATTGCATTACAACGCATGCACAAAACCACACATATATACCCAAACACACATATACACAAATATATATATATACACACACAAAACACATATACACAGACTAGGTCACAGCAACGCGTGGCAGGGGACAGCTAGTATTCTATATTAATTTATTATTTTTATTAATATAATAAATAAATAAATTATCCTAGCCCAGTTGTATATAACAAACCCATAGGCCTTCCTAGCCGTTTAATTTCAGTGAATTATCACCCTCAAAGGCTTCCTTAAACAGGAAGGTTTTATATATTTCCAAGCCATGGATGGTGGAATCTGTGGATAGGGAGGGCTGACGGTATCTTATATGCTTGACTTGAACTTAATAGTATACCGAAGCCCTGAATGGTGGAATTATTATTATATTTATTTATATCCCACTTTATCTCGCTGAAGGGGACTCAAAGCGACTTAACATAAAAGCATCAGCATAACAATTTACAAGTATACAAACATTAAAGCAGGATTAAATATTATTATTATATTTATTTATACCCTGCATTATTTCCCTGAAGGGGACTCAAAGCAGATTAACATAAAAGCATCAGCATAACCATTTACAAATATGCAAACATTAAAACAGGATTAAGTAGTATTATTTATTTATAACATGCTTTATCTCCCTGAAGGGGGCTCAAAACCACTTAACATAAAAAGCATCAGCATAACAATTTACAAATATACAAACATTAAAACAGGATTAAATATAACCAGTATTTAAAAATTCCAGTTAAAAACCATTAAAACACATTCAAAGTTAAAAACCAAGTTAAAAATCCATGGGTACAGAGGGCTGAGGAGTATATCTTATGACTGACAATAATAATACATTCAGTATTTTACAATAATTGTGTGCCTGGAACAAAGTTTATGTTGATTGGACCATCCAAAAGCAAAGGTGCTACTATCTCAGCCATCCAAGTGGACCATTTTGGAGTATTTGTGATTTCTGGAATAGGGCTATTCAATCCATAGGTTGCTGAGCATTGATCTGGTTTGTAGAGTGAACCTCCCCTCCATTTCTTAAACAAAGAAACTGCCTGTGCACCGGGCAATAGGGATCCATTAAGGCTTTCCTGCTGAGAGAGGCTGGCGACTGCATGTCCTGGTTTCCTGCTCAGGAAGAAAATAAAGGTGAAAAGGTCTTTGAGGCTTGCCAGTTCCTTCAGGCGTGAGTCATCCTGCTCTGGGAGCCGTAGACAATGCTGCCTTCCTAGGGAATGGCTACCAGTCAAGAAGAAAAGGAGGTGTGTTAGGCTCTATGGGAGGTATTGGTTTAGGGCACCGCAGTCTTGCCAATGAACTGGGAACACTGCTTGCTAACTCGTAGCCAAGCCTTCATTTCAATTTAATTGAGCTCTGAAGGCTAAAATGAGAGGGACTCTTGATTACAATCTTGTCGACTCGGGTTTGCGAGATGGAACTGAATCACCATTTGCTGCCGTTCGGGAAGGCGTACAGTTCTCTCTATCAGGGTATCCGAGGAACAGGCTAATAGTTTGCCGTGCTGTCCACGTACACACAGTCCCCGCCTATTTAAAACCCATTACTAGCGCTTACTGATAGTAACAGTGGTGGGCAAGCCAATATACACAGAGCTCTGCGGTGCCAACAACATGACACAGTGCCTAAGGCTCCCCTAGTAGGCCTCGCAGATAAATTATTCTTTATTTCAGTTAGATGAATGGATGGAGAGTAATGGGGAAATTTGAAAAAGAGGAAGCAACCTAGAGGCCCAGTTGTGAACTGTATGGGCTGGTATACGATTGTTTGTTGAAAGATGGAGATGATAGACACCGTTTCTAAAATAGAATGTTTCAGTTGTTCATATGGCTGATCAGGAAGTCTTGTCATGTAATTCCTTCCATTTGTCTAGTGATTTGGCATTGTTTCAGTGTCAAAAGGCTTTTTAAAAAAGATATAGCAGTTTTTGCATACGTTTTGAAAGACTGATTGGAAAATTGAAAATATATTAACAAAAATGTTTGCAAAAACGTGAGTATTGCTTATCTAAAATGCTAGGGGCCAGAAATGTTTTGGATTTTGAGTGATTTCTTAATTTGAAATACCTGTTTTATACATATATAGAATCATAGAGTTGGAAGAGACCTCATGGGTAATCCAGTCCAACCCCCTACCAAGAAGCAGGAATATTGTATTCCTAATGTTCAGATGGAATCTCCTTTCTTGTAGTTTGAAGCCATTGTTCCACATCCTAGTCTCCAGGGAAGCAGAAAACAAGCTTGCTCCCTCCTCCCTATTACTTCCTCTTACATATTTATACATGGCTATCATGTCTCCTCTCAGCCTTCTCTTCTTCAGGCTAAACATGCCCAGCTCTTTAAGCTGCTCCTCATCATAGGCTTGTTCTCCAGATCCTTGATCATTTTAGTTGCCCTCCTCTGGACACATAATTAGATATCTTGGGGATGTGACCCAAGTCTGAACACGAAATTAATTTCTGTTTCATATTCACTTTGTACACATAACTTGAAGGTAGTTTTATTTGTGATTATTAATAATGAAACATAGTTTGTGTACATTGAAGCATCAGAAAGCAAAAGTGTCACAATCTCAGCTACCCTCACAGATAGTTTTGGATTTAGGAGTATTTTGGATTTCAAAATTTTAGATAAAGGATGATCAACCTATATAACATATTCATTTTATATTAAGGATTGATATAATTCTGTAGCATGCTGATATCATATAATATCATGAAAATGTGTTCTGATCAGTTTAAAAACAAAATATTGATTTATATAAGGGCCTATGTATCCCAAAGGCACCAGATCTTGTTTGATGATAGAAGCTGATCAGGGTCAGGCCACCAATGAATACCAGGTGCAGTTCGCTATTTTTCAGAGGAACTGGCAAAATCACTTCTGGCTGTTCCTTGCCTAAGAAGGTGACAGGCAACTTGAAGGCACATACCTACCCCTAGGTTGTGTCATTTAAGGATTATACTTTCGCATTCATTAAGTAAACTGTGTTGGGGAGTGTCAGGAAATTAGGCTATTTATTTCAAAGATGGAGTCTAACTTGCTTTTAAACCATGGTAATTATGGTACTCTGGGTATTCTTGGCCTACAACTCCCACCAACCCTAATTAGCTCAGCAAATAGTGAGAGATTCTGAAAGCTGCAGTCCAAAACCTTCTGGAGACTCACAGTTGCACACTTTTGCTATAAGACAGGTCAAGATTGCAAGATGTTTGTCCCTTGATGTTACCTTATTGCATCCTTCACACTTGGCTATGTTTTCTAAGGCAGATGACAATTGCAGTTCAACAATATCTGGAGGGCAACAAGTGCCTCACCCATGTTTTAGTGTCTAAAGTTCTCACAGATACTAAAACGGAACCAAAAGCTTTCAAATACCTTATGGCTGTTTGAGATTTTTTGTTATCATTTTAGCTTAACTGCATCTTGCTTTGACATTTGAAATTGTAATTATGATGTAGTGGAGACAAACCATTTGTGGAGTTGACTTGTTTTCATCAACATCATAGAATCATAGAATCAAAGAGTTGGAAGAGACCTCATGGGCCATCCAGTCCAACCCCCTGCGAGGAAGCAGGAATATTGCATTCAAATCACCCCTGACAGATGGCTATCCAGCCTCTGTTTAAAAGCCTCCAAAGAAGGAGCCTCCACCACACTCTGGGGCAGAGAGTTCCACTGCTGAATGGCTCTCAAAGTTAGGAAGTTCTTCATGTTCAGATGGAAATGTTCAGATCATGGTTTAGGGGCTGGAAGTCCAACAAATGGATTGATCTGAAATTGCTGTGGAGTAATTTCTAATGGATATGGATATTTACCTAGACTGACTGTTTTAGTGTTAGTTGGCAGCTTGCAACCTCCCCCATTTTGGAATTGGGGTTTTGTTTTGTTTTTTTGTTTGGGTTTTTTGCACTAAAGTCAATGTAGATTTTTTAAAAAAATATCAGGATGTTTAAAAATTAATAAATGAAATTTAGGGTATATTATTGAAACAAGACTTTGATTTTAAGAACCAAATACTTGGTTCTAAGAAACATAC